TATTTTGCCAAAGACGAAACCGAGAATTCTCGCAGCGAGTTTGAACTGAATAATGTACAGCGTGTCGATGATACGCCGAAAATAACAATTGTACAGAACACTTTGAATTTCGCGATCGATATATCGGTGAGAAAATTTAATCGGAAATTTTCCTATGATTTTTCAGTTTATGAATTTGATTGTACATCAGTCGTATTCACTAAGTCTGATATGAAATCTCTAAAGTTTAATTAAAAAATCTAATTATTCAAAAAGTAAGATTTGTAGTGTAAGACTTGAATTATTTATAGTTTGAAAAGATTGATACTTCGATATTTCTATTATAAAAAAAAATTGATTCGGTATTTTCGCAACATAATGGACGCGTGTTTGTGAGCATCTAGGAAATTTTCCAATATTATCGACATCTCGTTGCGCTTCACTGCCACGTAGCCAGAAATATTTGTCGCGTTTTGCGAGGGGGCTTTTAAAGCCAGCGGGAATTTCGGCCGTAAATGGCATCGATAGAACATAAAAGAGCGGGAGGGTATCGAATATTCGCGATTTGGCGAGGGTCTTAACAAGTTCCGCGCTCGTAGATCGGCTTCCTGTCAAGTCACGTCAACTGAGAGCGTCATAAACCGGCGGTCATGAATCTTAAAAGTCAGGAAGCCGAGGGAGACGTCTCGTCTGGGCTCAGTCGCTCGCTCGTTCGGTGCCGGAAATTCCGTTGTTGAACTCAGGAGCCACGGCGTCATAAAACGGAAGCGAGGCTTCTCGTCAACTATGAAAGAAAGCGAATAGCGTCGAACAAAGCGTCACGTTTTATCGAAGAAATAACCTTCGGCCGGAAGAGAGATGAGACGTGTTATGAAAATTTTTATCACTTCGGTACTTTCCTTATCGATTTATCTCGAGTTTGTAGAACCTGAATTTGTAGTTCATAGACACTGGCGAGCGTTCTCGGTTTAACCCCTTAGATATAATCCGCCGCTATCGAAAATCAACAATCTAACTATGACGGGCGGTTCGTGCTAGATCTAAGGACTAGATCGACTAAAAGAAATGACTGACGAGTGCTAATCTATTACTCTACAACATCAACAAGGATTTGACAAAATTTCATCTACCTGCGACGGGTATTATTGTATGTGTGCGTGTGTACGTAGTGTATACGTGTCGGTTTTACACATTGTTTTATCTTATGTACATGCAATGGTACATTTATCTTATCGATTCTCTACTTGATTTTCGCAATCCAAGTAACATGGATAATGAGTAACGAACGCGATTCTGACACACCGAATGGTAAGTACGAGCACAATGAACCCTCGTTAGAGCGAATTCGGAGAAACTCGAAACTAGTAGCTCGTGAAAGGTAGTACTTAGAGAAGGATCTGTGGCGTAGGAGGACTCGGACTAACGAGAGTTTACCGTATTATGAGCAGTACCGACTTACAGAATTATTCCTTTCGCGATCAGAATTTTTATTGCGGAATTTAGGATTGCAAAAAAACTGCTGAAGGAAACTTCCCTTTCATCCCTTGAATTGCGAAACGATTCTAAACCCTGTTACATGTTAACTCCACTCAAATGGGAGGCTTGAGAAATCCGATTGGATTCGATTGCCTTCATCCACGTTAATTCGAGAAAAACGTCGATGCGCGCGTTATTTTGCAGAACAAGAACGATTAAAATAGTCAGCCACAAAGTTCTTCTCTACTTAATAGCCTTTCAGCATAATGCACGTTAAATTTTCATTACCTGTCATGCATAGAAAATTGAATTAATAACTTTATTAATAATTTAAGGATTTCAATTTATTAGAAATTTACATGAATCTGGAGATTAATAGTGAGAAACATTAATTAAATTCTCTGGAAGTTCGTTTGAATGTTAAATTTTTCTTTGATTCGACAATTATCAAATTACTGTTATTTTAGAGATTCACAGATCACTAATTTAATATTCGTTAATGAGAATCCTAGCAAAGTTGAAATTAGAATTAATGAAAATAGATTTTTAGGATATCTATATTGAATTCAATATTGAAAGAACTACTTTAATGAATTCTCGACATAGATATACGTCACAGTTATCGATAATGCGTCCCTAAGGGAAACAATCTAAAATAGCGTTCTAAAATTTTGCCCAACACTCGAAAATGTATACTTACTTTGTCTCGATAGTTAAACGAAAGCTCTTAACGCAATGCATATCTTAATATCAAAATGCGACTTAACTTTCTTGCGCACTATTGCACATAATATTTATTTGGTATTACAAGTAATTCCTTGAGCAAAAGCGGAAGGTACTAGATTTTCATCGAGGACTATAAAGGGGAGTTACGCACGACGAATTTATCATAGTAGACTTTTTGAGATCGTCCGTTCGACATTCACACTGGATTCGCAACATAACATCGATAACATTGGTAATATCGTTAATCACGAAAAAGAACGTATAACAATAATAATAATTTAGCAAATAAATCATTTAAACATTTAAACGACATAACTTCATTACAGATCAATCATTTAATAAAATATATAATTCAGAAAGACTTCGTCGAATCTTTGATTACGTTCCGTTAACGAAGAATTTCTCTCCCTTTCTTCCCTTTCTTGTCGGCACCACATCGCGTCTCGAACGAACGATCGGCGATCGTTGACTTAGATTTCATCGGGATGCGTCGTGGCTGGTGTGAGCGACTTCCTACTCTTTAGCAAAAATAAGTATCGTGTTACGCGTTTACAACACCGGCTCACGATGATCCCGTAGATAATGTAAGGCGAGGGAGATCTCTCTCGCTTTGTGTGTCACGTGTGTGTCCGGCGTCAGCGCAGCGAAGCTTCTCTTTCTCTCTTTTCTTCCTTCCTTGAGCGACGTCCGTCGACGCCGGCTCAAAGAAAGGGGCGCGTAACAAGCTTTGAAATACCTTGTAAGCCGGCTACACGCTACAGCTATATACTGCCTATAAAGCCTTAGACGAAACGATATTTATAACCGGCGTCCTGACACGGGCCTATAGCTATATATATGAAATTTTCCATTCTAGCGAACCGTCAAACTCTCGAAATGCGATAGACGTCTATCGGCAAAACCGGCCAGATAAGAAACTTGATCATTGAGGATGTAAACCGATGAGCCTTTTCTGTACGTCGTTATAAGCGTTATAAGACTGATCTGTATCGGAGAATTAAATCGCACTTCAAGAATCAAAAAGGCACGGTAATATTTTTTATATCGAAGAGAAATTACAGGGACGCAAGAATGTGTTAAATTTTTCATTTGTCCGAACACAATTGTAAGAGCATCGAAGCGTTAAAAGTCGGACGGTGCTGTTTTAGGAAATTGGCAATGTCGCACAAGGCTAAAAGATCAAGGTTTTAATCCCTTTCTCAATGTGTTAATCCCTCCCAGTGAGTTCTACAGATCTCTTTTAGACGCGTTTGGATTTTCCGCTGGCCGCGAAAGTAGAATTGAAAACATCGTTTCGTCCGTCCCGGGCTTTTCACCGTGCGCATTCGCGCGCTCTGACTCTGTATAGCAATTGTCAGGTACAGTGCTCGTCAACGATGGCTACGAATTGGCACATATATAATTCTACTCTAGGCAGCTGATTCGCCGTGGATTCAGCCGAGAAAAAGCCTTAGTCGCTAATCACTTATTAATTGTAATCTCGACGAGGCGGCGGCAGCCGTCGTTGATGCGTCGATCGATGAGAAGCAATGTACCTTATGGGGTTGGAGGAGTGTGTGTATGTTGCGATCTTGGATTATCGCCGGCAGAAAGTTGCAAGTGACTTACGTGCTAGTACTTTGGTAAAACAGTTCTCAACGCGTCTTCTCGATCAACGTTGCCCTTAAGTTACGCTTCCTTGCTTATAGATATATCGCGTCGCTCGACGGCTTCCATTAAGAGCTAATTAATTCAATCTAAATTAAGGACTATCTTTGGACGTTTGGCTCTGTCGCGCAGGGCCGCCATTCGACTTTGGTATTTCGTTTCTGTATTTCGCGATAGTAACGATCCTCCGGCCATTCTTACCTCCTCGAAGTGGATGCGTCGCTGTCGTTTCCAGATTGCCGCCAGGTCTCGTCCGATCTCGAACTCGATTCTGACGCGAAAATGACGTACCTTGACAATTCGAGGTAACAGAAAGATTACTGCGTAATCCGTTAGAACGCTAATTAAACCTAAACCGCAAACTCGGTGAAAAAATTATACTCGCTTGTCTAATCGTGAAAGTTAAAAGAGCATTGCTATCTTCAAAGAATTCGGTTATCGAGAGACTCGCTCGTTTATTTTGTGGGAAATCTCGTGAAAGGAATATTTATCCTGTAAGAATTAAAGCTCCCGACATTCGTCTTTCCTCGTAATCTACTCTATCTTGATCTTCATTTCCATCTTTCATCTCCGTGATCTCTTATTATCACGAGCTAATGTTGATTCTGTCCGAATTAAAACTTCTTCACACTCTATCCTTTATACTATTATCTCCCATTCTTACGGCGTTTTACAAGAGAAATGTATATAACTCGAATTGACGTTTGCCTTTTTTCCCCTATGCTATTCTTCCCTCTGCCATCTCTTTATCCACTTTCACTTTTCCTACGTCATATTTCTCACTTCTTACAATGTTTACGTTTGCTCTCGTCTACGCGCGTTTCGTTCTCCATTTTTATCATGTCTTTGAGGAGCGAGCGATAAATGAGAAAAGCGAATAGGCGATTTAGCGATCTAACGTCGTACACAGATATTTCTCCGAGTGATTTTCTCAATCACGGGCGATCCGCGATCGAGCGCCTTCGCGATCCATCTCGTCTCGAGGATCTCGTTCGTCGGGCCGAGCTGCCGAGGAGCTTCAGGATTTCGCGATCGACCTCGCGTCAAGGAGGTCCCTCCTTCCCGATGATCCCATGATTGAGCAGCTAGTGCACTTTCCCCGCGCGAACGCGAACGCACGCGGAAGTGCATCCCGCTCCTCCTCCCCCCCCCCTCCCCTCCCATCCCCCGGCGGCCCCTTGCCCCCACAGCTACGTGTAATGCTCGCAGTCCCCACACTCGGAGAGCGTGGGTGTGGACGGACACTAGGTGGGATTCGGGTCCTCGTACGCCTTCTCGTAGTCCCGCCGCCGTATCACCGCGAAGTGGGTCATCTGGAAGGAGTTGGTCTTCTTGCAGCCGCGCTCCAGCGTGCCCGTCATACTGTAGCCCATGTTGAAGTCGCTCGACGAAACGTTCGACGTCAGGTACAGCTGTAACAGGGCGGCAAGCAGATCGATACGATATCACTACCTTCGCTCTCGCGTACACACGAAACTCAAGAAGAGTCTCCTGCGGTCTCTTTTAAAACGTCACCCGGATATCACATCAGCAACACGGCACATATCATCAATAACGTAAATAATGCGAAAACATGCTGTATGTAAAAAGAGTAAGAGTGAGTTAACAAACAGGAGGAACTCTATTAATAATAACATCACAAATAAACGATAATATGATGAAGAATACTTTTTAGCTGAACTTTCCTCGTGTTATGCCACTTCTTTTTTTTTTTCTAACGCAAATGTACAGCTGCTTCATTTTACGCACAAAAGGGCGCGGCCAAAAGCATCCGTCCAAATCCCCTGGTCGGACTGCTTGTAATTAAAAGTTAACCAGTTGGAAAAAAAATTGCCGTAAAGCGGATCTGCGTTAATTAAAACGTCCCGGAGCTCTTTTTGGTAATTTACATTTAAAAATGCTCCAGCTCGTGCTCTCGCTATTAGTGGAAATATATATATTTCGGACGCGGTTCCGACGATCAATGGCAGATCATTAGAATACAGGCAAGCTCACGTCTGTCAATTCGGAGCGTGGCACTGACTGCCCTATCGGTCCTTTACGTACAAGCTAGTTCCCCATCAAAATTGCACGTGCGACAGTTATGGCCGACCGTTGGCGCACGAATATTACTTTCACGACAGCAGTGGTCAAACTAGCGGCACACAGCCCACGTTACGTTCGGCAACACGCGAGGAGAAGCGCATGTACACGTTGCAGCGATTTTTCGAGTTTTCAGTGCCATCGTAAAATCTGCCCGCGGCAGCTATACGACTCCCCCATCGTTTGCGCACCCACAATGGCACCTACTTTAGGCATTTGTGGAATATGTGCATGTAGGGGGAGGCAAAAAAATCCAGGTCTTCCCATCCGCGGAAAAAGTCTGTTCGCGACGCGAATTCCTCTCAGCCGCTCGATAAACGTCGCGAAAACGCGTGTGCCCGAGGCGCGTGCCATCAACGTTACGTACACACGTGGGACGCGTCGACGCCTTTTGTCGGCCGACATTTATTGTCGGCCGACTCTCCGAGACTCCAGCGGGAATCCAGTTCCACGAATTTCTGTATCTGACTCCTCTCTCGAAAAGGCGGAAATTAAAAGTCGCGGTGAACGATAACGCGACAACGCGTTTCCGAATCGCGCAAGACGAAGGCGGGTCGTCGGTGGATCGGTTGATCGATGGATGATGAACGGACATGGCGCGTATTCTCGGTAAAAAGATTAACCGTTACGTCGTAGAATCGTATTTTTCATTGTACGGTATCCACCGACGCGTGATTATGACATTAAGCGAGCGCGACGCTATAATTCCCAGTGATAAATTCGATAACTCGTTATTTCGCGTGTTTGACGAATATGAAATTTATCATCGGGAAATACCGCAACGTCACGCTCTCGCGTGTTTCCTCACGGTCGTTTCGCGCACCCCGGGCGGAATCGCTCGGACGAGGTTGGCCTTTTTTTTTTTCTACGCGCGCCGAGCGATCTCTAATTCACGCCGCATCACCGGGCCGGACATCCGCGGTCCGGGGACGCGATTCTTCAATTCGTTAATTTGTTTGCAGTAAACGCGCGCTACCTGTTTCTGTAATTGCGGAAACGTCAACGACGAATGGGCACGCGCGCGCGCGCGCGTTTTACAATGCACAGCGATACGGAGAATTCTCCGCGTTGCCGTGTATTTATTTAATTTATTTAATTATCCTCCTGCCGCATGCGCATCCTCGTGCAATAGAGACATCTGAAAACTGTAAGCGTACATTCACTAGAGGATACTTTTTTACGCGGAGAAACGCGCGCAAAGTGGAGATACGTTGTATTCGCATCCCGACGTCGTACCGTGAATGCGTTGCTCATGCAAGCGGAAATATCAGCGGAGACACACAAAATTTCTCGTAATCCGACAATCTGCAGATTAGCCGAGACGGACTGCGAGCTTCCGATATAACGCTTGGTGCATCGTTTGGAAGGATTGTGCGAACCTCGCCGACGCCCTTTTGGCGAAATAAAAATAATTAGTATAATGCAAAGTATAACTTAAATGTATGAATGAAACTTTTTATTGTTGAAAAAATATTATTTTTTAAAATTACATATTTGCTATTTATACATAAGTAAGCATAGACATAGAAAAATAGAAAAAAAACTTAATAAAAGAAAATGTTTATATATTTATACATTTTGATGATATATTGTTAATATATATTATATTACATTTTCTACATAATTTTAGTCAAGATAAAATATCTATATAATGCTAAAATGTAGTACAGTGTAACTTTGAAAAGGTTAAAGGTTATTTCTTTACTAAACACAGGCATTTGATATTAATTAACTTTAATAATAATTAACATGAGCTGGCTAACAAAGTAAATCTAATTTACAAATTATTCTGACAATTTGTTACGCATTTCATTAATGAAAGTACAGAATGTAATATCTCTAAAATTACGATGAATTATTATGAATTAGGAAATAATATGTTCTATTTTGATAAATTACTTTTATTAAAAGAATAATTTAAATTTAAAACGTGTAAATTTTGATTTAAGAAACATATTTATTAAATTTAGTTATATAAATTCATACCTTAAAATCAGGGTCGGTAGTCATTCTCTTGAACGAGCCGATAATATAAAGTGTGCCCGTACCCGTGTCCACCATTTTCGCCTGAGTACTATACCTGAAACACCATCATTTTGCGAATTAAAATCTTATGGCCAGTAACATTTTTGTTAACATTTTTTGTTAACATTTTTGAAACAATCGACTTCAAAGTCGGTAATAGAATCTACAAATAAAAAGAACCGCAGGTATTCCAGATGTACCCTGTATATTTATATAAGTAGTTTTACATATATATTAAAATGAAAAGAAAAGAAATGTCAAAGAAGCACAATCGATTTTGATATATACAGAATATAAGCGGAGGACTATCAATTCCCCGTCTTCAGCTTGTCCGTTTTTTCGTCTTTGACATAATCCTTAAGAAGGAGATCGACCTTTGACCCTCGGTATTCCTACCCTCTATTCCGAGTACACAAGGATGGGAAAGCATTGTGTATGCTTACAAAAGGCGATCGTGAGGAGGCGATCCTACCAGTTGCTATCGTTTCGTAAAAATTCGTGAAAATTTATATTCCATTATTTACGAAGAAAACAAAATTCAAGTTGCTCAACAATTTCTCATTTCAGTTCTTTTTTTTCCATTTCCATTTCCATTTTCCATTTTTCCATTTTATAATTATAATTATTAAAGAATTTATATTTTTCGTAGTTTAATTTTGTAAATCATTGTATATTAATATAAAATTATTATGTCGGATGTTGGAGATCCTTGGAGATGTTTAAACTTGAGATGTTTAAATTTTGAAGTACCAATTTGGAATTTTAAGGATCATCTTGAGTGCACGTTGTTAATCGATAATCATCGTTAGAATGGGCTTTGACTTTAAGCCGCATTTCTTTAAGCCGCAGAATCTTCATTCAAGCAATAAACGAAAGGGAAATCATAAAGAGGGAGCGATTGAAAAGATTAGGAGAAATTTCACTCGATTGGTGACGGGAAATACTAGGGTGGCCTTTTAATAAGAAAAAGAAAAAGTACAATAAAATGTATATTTCGAATATTCAGTCATACACATATACATATTTATTAGATTTTTATATAACTAATTATTACATAACAATTTAATTATTATAAGAGGAGAAACTATAAATTATATTAATAATATTGATGAAGTAAATATGTATCATGTATATTTAAATAATTTACATTTATTTATGAGAAAATGTTAATTATTTTATAAATTCTTTTAGGATTTTCTAAGTTTATCTTTTATCAATTTAGATTAAAATATAAATTATTTTGCATATAAAAGTTATTTTTTTTCTTTCATTTTAAAAAATTTAAAAACTAATAATAAGATATGTATTTTTTACGTAGATATATCAAAAAATATTCTCCTTCTTTTTTTTTCTCTTTCTCACTTTCATCGCTTTTCTATCTCTTTCAAATATTCAAATATCAAATTATTAAATAACGATGTATACACAAATAAAATAAAAATAAAAATAATAGGTATTGAGTTAAAAGATTTTATCTAAAAATATTCGAGGAAAGAGAAACTTTTTTCTGCATAAAAGAGGTGAAGAAAAAAAAGAGGTGCAAGCAGCGGAGTTCACCAACACGCCCGCACAGTCGACTCGAGGGGCTTATTCCGGCGGAGATAGCTCTCGAGGACCGGCGACGATCATTAAAAGTTTAAACGGCCTCCATTGAGGCGAATAGTGGCAGATCCGACATTCGAAGCTCGTCGCGCCAGTTGCTTTGATTTCCCTGGCTTTTCTCGAAGGAAAGGACGTACGGAAAAAAAATCCGAACCGCCGAAGAAAGGCATGAAGGTATCGCTTTTTTGGCGTTTACGCGATTATGCATAATAGATATGTGACTTCGTCATGTTTGTGACGTAAGCACGTCCCGATAATCATGTTTCAACCCTCGACTTCTCGGCGATGCGTGTGATATCGATGATTTCGCATGAAGTACTTTTAATATGTATATTGCAGTAACAGTTGGCAGCAAACATGAACATATACGCGGAATTGGATATTAATTCGTGGCAGTGGCAACATGTTCCGACAAGTTTACGTAAAAATATCAAATATTTATAATAAATATATAAATATTTGTATCTATCAGTTAAAAGAAGAGATAAATTAATATTGCAATACAAATATGTATATAATAAAAATATTCTTTATTAATTAGCTTAAAGAAAAAAATAAGTTGCGCGATATCGAATGCCAATTAGCAACATCACGAACTCCAATTAGTGACGATAATGACGTCGATAATTTATGTGCGTTAGTGGTTATATTATCCATATCCTCGAGATATTGTTTACTTTCTAGAGCATGTATTGGCTCATTATCGATAAATTGACGAGCTCATTGCGACATATTTGTCGAGTATCCCCAATCGGTTTGGATTTGGTTGCAGTCGATTGCACCGCGTGAGAGGTCGAAGTCCTCGATGAAGATAAATGGGCGAGATTTCCTCGGCCGACGAGCCGATCGAACTGTCGTCGCGTTTCAACCTGTCGTAAAAGCTTTTGTTGGTCGAGCAATGATGGGAATCGGTATAAAACAGTAATTTTTGGGGGATCAATTCGATTTCGATATAACTATCTCCAGCGCTCCAATGTGAGATTGGTAAAGTTTTGTTGACCGAGCAAAGATCGAAGATTAGAATGGAGTAACGATCTTCGAGATTCGAGGCTTAGATATAGATACCTTAGAATTCTACCAGTGAGGATTTCTGTTGACCAAGCAACGACTGAAAATCCGAGTAATAATCTTTGAGGTCTCAGGTGATTTTTATTAGTTTCTATCTTGGTGTTTCAATCGTGATGATTCTTATCGATCAAGAAAATTATTGGAATCGAGATGGAGTGTTTTTCTTTGAAAATGGAGCCGAGCTGGGAGTAAACGGAGCAATCGGTCAAAGCACATGGTCACGGAATAATATCGTTTGTATTTGGTATCCTCGTCAGGATAACGCGAACCGTACACGTGTCCATGGAAAGGGGCGTGGGAATTGATTTGTACTGCCAAGAGCACGTGTTTGCTAAGACGAGCAGTCTGGTTCGTCGGCGTAGCCCGATAGTGATACGGAGAATACAGGCACTCTATAGCAGCCGAAGGATATTTAGGCAAGTTCGGTCGTTTCCGCAAACTCTGTTCGATCTGCGGAGACGTCCATGCTGCACTAAAGATGCCCCCCCAAAACCGATTTTGGTCATATATTAATCGGTGTACGACCTGGGCGGTTAAGCAAAATCTTCAACTCAAATTCTCTTGATATTCTATCTTAGAGGATGATGATTATATAATATAATTTTTTTTAATAAAATAATAAATACTGATAATATATACTTTTTGCTCGAGTTTAACTCTTCCAAAATATATTTTATATATCATTTGTTTAAAATATGAATTATATACGAGAAATAGTGTAAAATTAAAGAATTGAAATAAGTGTCAGTTTAATGCCTAAAAATCCGCCATTAGTAATCATAGAAATAGATATTTAAACAAGATATTTAAACATCAGAAAGAAATGCTTGGCAATATTTGGCAGTCAGGATCTAGGCACCTAATATATAATGTTATTTTTTATTTTTTCTCTCGATTTATATGTAATTGAATGAAATATTTAAATATCTTTCTTTTAATACATTCTCAATTATTAAAATAAACGTCACGCGCAATATTTTTGCGAGCAATTTTTTTACAAAGAAATTCAGGATTTTCCGGAGAATTCGAGGTACGACATTCGATCCCGAGCGTCGTAAAGCGTCGCGATTTTATCGCACGGTCCAAAGCCTGCTTGCCGACTCGTCCTCCACCTCCTCGAGATTTATCATGGCTCTCAGCATTCGGAGGAAGACAATGAGGGCGTCTTTTCTCCTATGCGCGCGCGCGCGCGCGCGATCGAACGAATCGCTATAAATCGCGAACCCCTTATCGGCTTCGACCGCCGAGCGGCGACCTTAACGGCGCCGAAATCTATGGACGCCGGAAAGTTAGACGGGCCCCAGTTTCCCAAAGTGATACGACCGCCGAGAGGGGAAAGATACCTACCATATCCCGTTTATACGGTATTCTGTCTCGGTTCGCGTTATCCGCTTCTATCCACTTTACGTTTACAGTATGTTCCCGTGAGCTCGTTATCGCGACAAGGATAATCGGACCGTCAAGATGCGCGTTATAAACACAGATGTCACATGATAATTACTAGATATAAAGGGACAGACGTGATGAAACCGTTGGAATGGAATGGAATGTTATGAAATTGTCAAATGATGTACGATAAAGTTTAAATAATACGTAATAATACGTATAATTTAACAATAGCTCCCTCACCTTCTTGTTCCAGCGACTTCGACGACCTTGCATCGGCTCCGACTCCACCAGAACGGCGTCAGGGTCCAGTAGGAACTACTCGCGCTTCTCGCCCAACCCTCCTCGGGGAACAAAAGGACCTGCAACAAACGATGAATTGTCTTTTGAATATTTCATCGTTTTCCACTCGTAAATTTCGGATGTAACGTCGGAAATGTTGCGCCGAGAAGAAGAAAAGCCCGTTTGGATAAACAAAATCGACAATCTCACAAAAAATATCACCACATGCGACCATTCAGTGATTAAGACACTCGCACGGAAAGTGAGTGATCCAGGTTTGATTCCTGGCTGGGGTGATGTTTTTCGCAATAAAAATTTTGAGGGATCAATTGATTTTAAATTTGATTATCAATTTATTAAGAAGGAGAGAATCTAGATATAGCTTTGAGCGGGCTACGCTTGTAAATTTGTAAATTAACGGCACGTGGATATAAGCATATGCTTTGAATTTATATATTCAAAAAAGAAAAATTATTCGACACTAAGACTCTGTGCGTCGATTAATACCATTTATGATTTGGTTGTTTTAAAAAACATATATTTCGGCTTGATTATTGTTCATTGTTTATTGTTAAAAAAAATATCAATTCTGTCGAACCAATAACGCAAATTTTATCAATAACAATTACAATATTTTAGTCGACAACATTCGTCGCGTCAATTTACGTGCTTTGTTTTATTTTTATTTTCGATTGAACGTATTTTGTTCCATCAAACAGTCCTTTTTTTCAGTGTAGAATAATAGAACATGGAACGTCGATAGTAAGCTCGCTGGAGAAGCTATAGCGCTCTCAAATAAAGTGGACGAGGAAGAAGGCTTCGTCGGGACTTCTTCGCGGGACGTCTTCGACGAGTTCGAGGTTTCCCGGGAAGATTTGTTGAAGCGAGTTCCTACGCAGAAGGAGGAGGACGCCTTTCCGTCGAACGTATCTCCCGCGAGAGAGAAAAAAATCCTTCGACTTCCTTCCATCCCACGCGTCCCCACCCCCAGTGATCTGGTTTCCGCTCTTCGACTTTCCCGAATCTACGGCTATGTGACCGAAATATTGAAACCACGTCGAGCGTCGTTTCTTCTCTCGCGCACGCGACGGGCGAGAAGAGATCGTGTGTGTCTTCTTTCTACGAATCCCTCGCACGCGATGCAGGCATCCGTCATCCCGAGGATTTTCTATACCGCGAACATGGATAAATCGCTCTTTAATCGGTGCACGATATCTCACACGAGAGAAACACGTAGGATTGTTCCTTCGCTTGACAGTTTTGGCAGAAATAAACGGATGAGTGAAATTGCGTGAAATTTAGCTCGTGTAGATTTACGATCGTGTCGATCCGATTGTCAATTTTCGCTATTGAAAAAAATTGTAAAAATTACGAAATCTAAATCTTTAATATTTGTAGCTACTCCCATCCTTTACCCTACTTTTAATTTAATAATAGCTCCACAGAAAATTCATAAGATAACATATTATCCCAGAAGTTACGAAATTTCGCCATTCCACTGGAATAAATCGACCTGGATCACGTAGCGCGGGGCAAATATTTCGCTTTATCAACACAAACCATTTCGCTTCTTCATTACTATTATCCAGCATCTGCAAAGTTCTCTTGGCAACAGTTTTGCTGGCACCCCAGATATTCCGCGATAACCATGTATTTCCGTCGAAATTACGATACGTCGTAAATTGCCGTCTGTCAGCAAGAATGCACTTTCTTCTTCCCTCGAGGGGAGAGCAGCGAAAAGAGGAACACACGATGAAGAACGGGGAGGATTGGAGGAGCTACTCTCGACGATCGGATCCTTTCCCTTTTCCTCTCTTTTTCGGGTTACCGCGAGATAGCTCGTTGCCAAAACTTCTTGATTCGCCGTTCCGGAACAGCGGAACAATCAGCAGGGACAATCTCTGAAAGAAATGAGGAGAGAGACAGGAAGAGAGAAGGGGAGAGAGAGAGAGAGAGAGAGAGAGAGAGAGAGAGAGAGAGAGAGAGAGAGAGAGAGAGAGAGAGAGAGAGAGAGTAGAGAGAGAGAGAGAGAGAGTAGGAGAG